GTAATAGATGTTATTATACATAGAGCGGCTTCACATGGGCACTTAACATGACATTTACACAAATATTCACATTTTTTTGCCTCAAATAAATAAAAATAAGAAATTTAATTCTTAGATATTATTTCGTGATCTTAACCCTCCCGTGCCTCCGTGCCCGAATGACACCTTCAACTCTACAACGCTGCCGAGCGAATATTTATCAAAATTTTGAACTCGTGATATCATTTGAATGGAATGTCAGAATCTAATAATTTAAAAAGTTATGTAAAGGCTTTGTAACAATCTTAAAATAAATCATTTATTTTGATAACGATTAAAACTAAGGAACAAACAAATACTTTTCAAGCAGTGGTAATTTAATTATTTTTTATTTATAAAAAATCGCTTATTTTGACAATACTATAATAGTTAGAGATATGATGTCGCTACGTTCTTTGTAGGTAATGATAAGTTTTACAAAATTGTAGTACATAACTTTGTTATATCTTCAATCGTTTTCGGATCGTTCGCGATGAAAGAAAGGTTTTTGGTATATTTTTTACATTATCGGAGTTTTGGTAAAGAACCCTATTTTTTTTAAACTAAATATAGCCTATATCACTCCGGGATAGTATAGCTTGCCAACGGTGAAAGAATTTTTCAAATCGGTACAGTAGTTTCGGAGCCTATTCGAGACTGATCACAAACAAAAAATCAAACATTTCCTCTTTATAATATTAGTAGGTATAGATAAGATAACTAATATGCGTACCTACTTTTACTTTACTTATAAAGTAATAAAATGAAAACTAATAATATATTTCAAACACTACCAAAACCTCTCATACCTAAAACTATAATAATATATATGTATAAACATGACCAAAACGTCTTATATGTATTATATAAAATAACAACACAACAAATCTAAAAAGGAACTATTCAAAGATTAAAAGTCGTGCTGATAAGCACGGTTTGCAAATAACAATTATTGCGTGTCAATAAGGTCGAACAGTCTGAACGTCTATTCGCATCAACAGCCAAATATTAACATTTTTTAACCTCCCGCCGCGACGCGCGTCTAGCGCGGCAACCGATACACAAAAATAATCCTTATAGCATGACTCTGTATTCACGTGCGATGACTTATCGGTAATAATGTTAATTTTTCTTAATAAGGGATGAGTGATAGTGTTGTCAACGTTAGAGTAGACAAATACAATCAGAATTATCCGAATTGCTAAGCTATCGAGAGTTTCACGTGTTATTGTGAGTCAACCATAAAATATAGTCATATGCTGTGCAGAAACATATTTTATATAATTTTAAGGAGAATACTTCCGTCATACATGATTTCTATGTAGCTTTAACCTATAAGCCTGCACACACGAAGAAAGCTTAAAAAATGGAGTAACTTCTCCCGTTTTCCCAATATTTCCCTTCACTGCTCTGCTCCTGTTTATCGTAGTGTAATGAAAAATATACTATAACTTGCCCAAGAGTAAGAATAATAATCGTGCCAAATTTCTTTAAAATCCGTCGAGTAGTTTTTGTTGCCATAACGAATACATATGCAGACAGACAGACAGACGGACAAAAATTTTACTGATTGCATTTTGGCATCAATAGCGATCCCTAACCACCCCCTGATAGTTATTTTTTAAATATATTTTATGTACAGTATTGACCTCTCTACAGATTTATTATAAGTACAGATTACTTTGGTTAATATGCATATGAACTCGTCAGATACTTTTGAAAGGAATCTAGAAGTTAACTTCATATACTTCTAATAATATTAAATTCAATTTATATTTCTTTTGTCTTGTGTGCCTATAATTGGGGGAAAACCAAGAAAAAGAGCTAAAGAGAGAAAAATTAAGGAAAATGGAAATAGACATTAAGATTGAAAGAGTTTTGGCTGTAGCAAGATATATAGCTTCACTTTGATGGAGGGTCTATATAACCCGAAGTCACCCTTAAACTGCAAATGATACGTTGATAATTGTATCACAAAAAAAATTGTGACATTAAATAGAATCATCTACATGTATTATGTATGTAATAAAATCACTAGTATCAATAGGTTTTAACTCTATACTGATTTGATTGAGTATCTGTTTTGCTATCTTCTGTGATAACCTTTTTGTGTCTAAACGAACAGACAGCCGACAGCTGAATTTAATGCTGAAATAACTTTTACAATAGTTTTTGCTTTTTTTATTATAATTCATTCACTTAGTGTTTTTCTATTATTAAACGTCATAATATACACTAGTGTTAAGAAACAATGTTAACAGATATAATATTTTAACATATTTACATCCTTATCTGATGATCAAGTTGAAAATTATACTAATCACGCGACTCCCAAAACAAACAAGCCACTCAATATTGTACTATACCGGATTGAAGATGTCAATGAACTCTCAAAACATAGAATCAGTATGTGATGACATACCGTTTATGTTAAAATTAGTAAATAAAAACTTGCTACTCATTCTATATAGTAGACTGTCCCAGAAACTTATAAAAAAGTAATAACAATAATAAGGGACAATGGTTTAATTGGAAACACATTCACACAAAAAGACAAAACAGAATTGTTATTACAAAACTGCATCATACTATACCGCACAGTGAAATAATAGAATCTATAGAGGCTAGTGGGAACAAATCTGTGGAAAAATGATAAATTCCCGCTATGGTCCAGACAAATCACATCTTTTACTTTTTTCATCAACCTGGAACAGAACGAAAATAACTGACTGGTCAAAAGATCTAAAGTTCATTTATCACCAACGAGTAATAGAAGATCCTCGCAAATCCAAAACAATTATCCAATGCCAGCACTGTAAGCAAAATAGACACTCTAACAACAACTGCATAAGGCCGTATATATGGATAAAAAGCGGGGAGGAACATAAGACCTCAGACTGCTTAAAAATTTGACAACAAAATACTTGCCAAATGTGCTCTATGTTAGTGGGACCATCCAGCCAAATACAACGGTTGTCAAGTCTACAAAAGAAATCTTGGCTAGGAAAGGAAATCAGAGCAAATACGAAACAGCAAACTAAATCAGTTGAACCACAAGTTCAATATAACAATACTTTCTCTGTATCAAGATAAAGCCAACGAACCAACCATCCGTAAACCAGACTCAAATCTGATACAAAAAATCATACTCCAACATATTCAATCATACTCCAAACCAACATCCCTATAAACACACGTCAAGTATTCGCAACAGACTACATATTTATTCAAATTTAACTTTGACGATATATCAGATACACAGTTTACATACTTTTGCATAGATGGCATTAGTAGTAACAAATTCTGATACACTATTTCAACAATCCCCAAAGATCATGCCATCAAGATCAACAAGTATTACAAGCTCACTAACGAACTCACTAAGAATAGGTTCGTTGTAAATTTGTACGCAGTAGGTATAGGTTCGTTGTAAATTTGTACGCAGTGGAAGTACGAGCGAGAGGTACAACAGCTAAATCTTTTAAACCAACTAAAAAAACTTGCTCCTGTGCAGAACATACATCATTCATTCTTGGAACGTACTTCGAAGGCAGCCCTAGTAGGTTCTTTTCAAATTTGGGTAGAGGCCTTAGATAGAGGCCGATTAAACCTACACCTGGGTCGCAAGTCCCAATCACTGTTGAAGCTCCTCTCACTACAACGACGGACCCGACACACGCATGGTGAATCCATTGAATGATGAGAGGTTTTGTCTCTTAATATCTCACGAGTTCATTTCTACGGTTAGTTAATAAAACCAAAATAAAATTTGATTAGTTTTAATTAAAGAACATTTGGATGGAATACTATTACATTAAAACTAGTTAGAAAACATAAAAATACTTAATCTAATGGCACTAATTTAGAACAGATCATACACAATACAACAGTTCATTGAAATATAATTGTAAATACAGAGATAAAAAAATCAGTAAATCTTTCCTTGTAATACTTTTAGTTTAATGCGTGAATATTTTGAACTATATTTTTCCTTTCACTACTCTATATATAATTGAGACAATTGTAAAAAAAATCAAATACATACATACTTAAAATTTATTTAAAAAAACTTTTGTACATTTTCTTTTGGAAGTATTTGTTCTTTATTGTAATGCGGTAAGAATGTAATAAGAATAAAACATTGAAACAACATACAAATAGGATATCTTTGAAAAAGAATATTCTATATATAAAGATTAAAGAAAATGATAAATTAAGTTATTGTGAAAGAATTAATATCAGATGTTTTATATAATTTTAGTTCATATACAAGTTTATTAAAGTTTATGAACAGATACAACAATACTTTAGCTCCCTTATATTACCAAGAAATGGCGTTAGTTGAAGGACGGATGTGCGTCATATGTTCATCTTACCCAAATTATCAGCCTTATTAACTTAAACTTATTTATAATTAAGACGATCTATATCTAAAACTGAGAAATAATCTTTTGGACGGATATTTGAGCTCTTTATGTAAATGTTTTTTATAATACTGAGTAAAACATCAAAGTGATATAAACAATTTGAGCATAATATGTAGTACGTAGATACCGTCGTTAGCTTATTAAATTTAGTACAGTAATACCTCGCTTAACGCGACCCCGTTTTGCGCGGTTTCACTATAACGCGATTTTCAAAAATATATTCAGGTTGGGACATTGCAGAGTATAGACAATAATGATGACCGTGTCTTGAACGTGTGTCAAACGATTAAAAACAGTGTTTGGTGTTATGAACGTATTTTACAAGAACATAAACAAAACGCTACCCAAAAGACAATACATGTGTTTTTTCGTAAAAATTATATATTGTATAGGGTTCTTAGAATTAAAGTGATTGATTAAAATGATTTTTATATTTGTGTATTAAATTTTGAGTGTGTTTAATCATAAACCTCGATATACGCGAATTTCAGTTAACGCGATTTTCTTCGGAACGTATCCCTCGCGTGAAGCAGGGTATTACTGTATTTTAAATTATTAATACAACATTATCGCTCCGTTGAGTTTTTCTTCTAAGGCCGGTGCATTGGGTTCAGTTTCAGATGCAGCTACCAGAATACATATGATATTGATGAAAGCAGCTATACAGGAAGTCACCACTAGCCTGAAAAATAAAAATAATTATTAAAGCTTTCGTTTTAGTACTAGAAAAAGGTAATTTTTGTAACAAATTAAAGTTTTATGGCCATTAATAAGTTATGTAAGATAAAAAGTTGTGAATAATATTAATCTGTGACAATGAATTAACAAAATTATATAAACATTTTAGACTTTACCGTAAAAGGTTAAATAGTTACGTAACTGATATCATTTCTAGAGTATTTTACTCCATTGGTTGTAAATAAAATGGAAAAATAAGTTTTACTTTTGTTGCCATAGATGGCAGTCTTATCAAATTGTATTTTTACATCATAGGCACGGTACAAGTATTTAGTGATATTGTATTCATTGTGAGTATAAGAAAAAAACCACATCAATTGGGACTAATCAAAGTTTTTCGCATAAATGACAATTTATTTTAGAAGATTTAATTTTTATAAGTTTAAAGAATCAAAACAATTATTAAATTTGAGTAGTTTTTTTGCCGCGAGTTAGTCTGCGTGAATCCAAGAGTTGCATTCAGAGAAGAGTGTTTTTTGTTTTAAATCAATACATAACTAACTAAATAGATGGTAAGCAGTGGCGGCTGGTGGGTTATCGAACTGGTGGTGCACTTTACTAAAATATTAAAATTAGAAAATGCAACAAAAAACCAATTCACATAAAATATGCTTATTTTTTATACATTAATTAATGCAACGACATTTTTCCGAAGCGATTGAACATTTCAATCACCTATTTATTAAAATCGGTTATTATTTGTATATTTTTTTATTCAATACTAAGCACAGAAAGTGCATTTAGCTAGTGCGAGGTATTTCGTAGAAAAGTTTTGATTCTTTTCAATTCCAATTCGTCATACATCGGGTGCTCTCGGTTATCTTCGGCCGCTCGTGCGGCGCTCGAGAACCGACTCATTACTCGGTACATTTCTATGAACTATCTTTTGTTTCACGCGTCAGGCGTATTAATTCGTATCTCATACAAGATGTATTAGCAGTCCTCGTGCACTCACCGAGGCGCACGATATGAGTTTAGTAAAGCGCTCAAACTTTTTGACTATAATTAGAAATTTAATTTTTTATACGTTTTTGTATGTTTAGAAAATAAATATTAAAATGGTAATTTGAAAATAAAGATGAAGTAATATTTTGTAATTTTTAAATATTTTGAATTGGTGGTTCAGCGCACGAGTGCACTTAAGGTACAGCCGCCACTGATGGTAAGTAAAGTAAATTGCAATCTTTTCAGTAAATAACGTTTATACCGACTGCACCACTATCTACTGGACACATTTGAAAATTTAAGCTATCTGGGGTGATACACAAATGCATACAAAAGAAATTGTTCAAATCAGTCCAGTCTTTTAATAGAACTTCAATGACATACACATATACAGTGGAATTATGTATGTATATAAAATTATAAAATTGATTTAATATGCAAGAAGGAAATATTGTATAGAAACCATATTTAAACTATAATCATATGCATCGTTATAAATTCGTTTAACACAATTAATAAAATGTTTCTATTTAATAAAATGATGACTTTTTGTAAATAATTTAGCATTGAAATTCATACTAATACATTATAAGGACAATTAGTTATTCTCCTTTATATTAATTTAGCATGTTATGGGAATGTATATATATACATATTTGATGTTAAATTTAAATAATTTTTCTTTAATAAATTCATATGCACCTTTTACTTCTACTCCCTATAAGTAAATTGACTGATAAACATCATATTATTTATATGTAGTTTAATTAAAATGAATATTCACCAAAGTCCTAGATCTCATTATCATTATTTACCGTAGACTTGGAATATGTAGTAACATTTCTTAATTATTAATAAATTAATATAGCAAATAAACAATGGGGAAAAATAATACCAGAATGAGGTTCCCAAATCCGCTGTCATATCTGAAGACCATGTGTTGGCGAGATCCTCATCTGACATCACATTGTGTTGGAGACGGAGGAAGAATTCTGTGAGCCACACTGCTATCGCGCCCAGACTGAATAAAACTGGAATGGAATTGGTATATTGTTAAAATAGAAATGGAATTGGAATATTTGTTGAAATAGAAATGGAATTGGAATATTTGTTGAAATAGAAATGGAATTGGAATATTTGTTGAAATAGAAATGGAATTGGAATATTTGTTGAAATAGAAGTGGAATAAAACTGGAAAATTGCTTAGAATAGTTTGAATTAGTAGATTAGACTCGGCTTATACTCAAGTGATTAATTATTTACAGTTTTATATAAAAATTTAAATCTACAAGTTATTTGTTAGCCATTTTAAATGGGGGACTATAATATTTTCAGATAAAGCAAGTCCAAGTCCAAGTTCCAAAAAGAACAAAGTTCGCTTACAAACGAAATTTTCAAATTGTAACCACAATTAAGATATTACAAGTAATAAACAGTAGTGATATTAAGTAATATTATCAGCTATATTAAAATAACCCAAAGAACAACATTTTTTTAATAAATCATACCAGTGGCACCATTACACACAAGCAATGGTTTCGGTGAGCAGGCGTTCCTAGCAGCAGATCCTAGTGCCGCTAACAGACAAGCTCCGCCAGCAGCAGCAAGTGCCGCAGCGAGTTGTGCCGCTGTGCCGCACCAAGCCCAGCGGCGGGCCGGGTGAGTGCCGGTGCGGACTAAATAATAATTATTTTAATCATTAGTGATCTTATACACAATTTGAAGTTACTTGCATTCATTCATTCATCAGATGTCAATTTTAAGTTTAATAACGTAAATTAAGCTAAGCTGAAAAGAATATGATGTTTCATGAAGTGGCAGAGACATTTGTATAAACATATTGAAAAAATGTCCAGGTTTCCTTTAAGTTAATAAATATAAAAAATAGCTTCAATTTCAAAATAGCATAGTAATATATTCTCGTAATTAAAAATATGTCTAAATTTTCAAATGAAATAAATGATATGTGCAGAATATTTACTAATACTCTTTAGATATGATTAATTTAATTATATTTTATTTAATACTTACTGCTGAATTCATAATATCTCCATCCGTATCCACCAAAGTTAAGTTCTTTGTGACCTTCAAAGAGACCAAAACTTATTCTACCCTCAGAATCCAATGTATTTGACAGACGTTTAGCTCTGGCATCAACCCAATGCGTAGTACCCAGTGAAGCGACAATCAGCGCTATACAGAGGCATGAGCCAAAAAACGTAGCAAATATCATAGACCTTTTAAAAAGATTCAACTTCATTTTCGCTATAAATCAAACCACTATTTAAATACAAGCGGCCGTCGATAGATGGCGCTACGTCACATCATTCACTTTTTATATGATTTTCTATTCAATACTCAGCGGAGTGCATTGTTTTCTATTTTCTTTCCCATGTACAAAAAAAGAAATTCTGAAACAATAAAGAAAACTAATTATTGGTTATAAACATTCATGTTATGTATTTCTTATATCAATTAATATGCATCGAACATCTATCTGATGTTAGATATGAATATTGCATTGAAAATAATTGAGGAATATAAATTTAGGGTACCTTTTTTTGCATGTTATTTACTTTAAAATTTATTCAAACACTGCTTTTTTAACGCATAGAACTTAAGTCATATTCAATACGACACTTTTCTCATTAAAACAATGTATGTATATAAATCATAAAACTTTGCACATAATATCGACGTTGGTATGAGAAACTGGTGACTGTGTGTATTTCGTTTATTAATATGAACTGGAAGTAAGTATAGCTAACGTAAATTTAAAATGTTCAATGTTAACAATAGTAACTAGAAAATAAGCCAATTAAGTGTTTTAAAACTAGTAATATCACTTCATGTATGTATTTACTAAGTGCAAAAATCCGAAATTAGCTATTCCAAATGTTATAGGTACTTTAAATTATTTGTAATCCTAATAAAGCTACTTGCTTACCCTACTGACAAAAAAGTATTACGTTTTTCTAGAATATCCTGTATTATCCTGTAAGCGTAGTTTGAAAAAGAAACCATAAGTTAAAAGTTACTTGAAATAAGAGCTAAAAAGCCAAGTGAATATAAAAAATAAATATACATAAGAGGGCGTTAACTCTAATGTAATATAAGCAATTGGAAGCATCTTATTAAAAATAAAACCTAAAAAGTGTCTTAAGTAATGTCGATGCTTGTGACAATTAGCATAAATAACTATTTATTGTGTCTTTGTAATAATTATATGAAGCAATTTTCTTAAATATTCTATAGATTTATCGCAGAAACTTGATTTAAAAAATTCATTTCATATTAATCACGTTATTTTATTATAACACACGAAACAAATTCAAGTTGAGCAATGGGAAGCATCTTATTAAAAATAAAACCTAGAAAGTGTCTTAAGTTATGTCGATGCTTGTGACAATTAGCATAAATAACTATTTATTGTGCCATTGTAATAATTATATGAAGCAATTTTCGAAATCAAAGCAAATAAAGTCGGCCGATAAGGTGTTATCTTGTTTAATTATTTTTTTCTGATTTTGGTGAATTTTATACTTTTTAATTTATTTCTTAGATTAGATATAAGTACGTTTGAAATTAATAATTTCACGTATGTTTTCAGAGAGTAACATATATATATACTCTCTCTATATCATAAGATTTTGTATAAACATTTAACTAGAAAAAAAAGTTTACAATTAATTTAACATGAAAAAATAAGTTTTAATATACAGATTAAGTTATTTATAATTTTAATTTAACAAATATTATATCATTTTATTCTGACTATAAAATATTTAGTTAGGTTTTTTTACATAGTAAACAAAATAGCTGTTTCGCTGACTAACAAATAAAAAAAAAAAAAATAAGAAAATCATCACAAATCATAAAAGCCATGACCGCTTTTATTTTAAATCGGTTAACAATATTAATAACAGCGACCTTCCAACCTTGTACTCGCATAAGTTCACACTAACGGCCCCGTCACGGAACGATGCGTTTGAATAAACTCTGAACACGTTTAATAGCGATGTGTTTGTAATGTAACGCGAAGGTCGCATCTGTGATGGGGACGGAGAAACTCAATGAGACATATGACATATACAAATATATTAATAATAATTGTACGCTTTCGAATTGATATGAAATTCCTTTGCGTATGTTTGTTTCTACTATATGTTATTGTTGCTTTGCCTTTCAAGCAGAGTGAATTAGTGAAGGATGATTAGTGAATTATAACATCTGGATCACGATTTTTTTTTTTTTTTTGTTTTCCCAGGGGAAATCTGTTCACAGATACCCGGCCGAGCGGGGACTTGACCGGGTTATGTGGGGTTTCGACCCACTAAAACCCCCTAGGTGGCGTGGATGAGGAACACCCTCATCCACGCCACCTAGGCAGGGCCACGGTATACCAAAAGCTTGCCTCGCGAATAGAGATTTTAGTTAGTCATCATTCTATTATAGAAAATTACACTTGCGACTTGTCTATGGAAATATCTTGATATTTAAATGAAATTATGATTTACGGACATTATAAAAATATTTGGAAAAAAAAAATAGTTTTTTTTTATATCAGAAAATCAGTCCCATTTCAATCGAAAATCTTATATATTATTAAGTTTACAGTAATACAAACATAATATTCCTATTAATTGATGGCGTGATATCGAAAAAATTTATTAAAAGAATATTGCAACCAGATTAATGCAGATTAATAACCTTGTTACCGAAAAACCTTGTCGGTTTATTAAAATATATCCAATCCAGTGCAAGTAATGTTTTCGTTCGTGTATGTTGGTCAGTCACATGAAAAATACTAAACTAATTTATGTAAAAAAAATTTAAAAAAGTAGCTTTAACAATAAAAATAACAATTTAGGTGACATAGCAAATGTCAAATTATGCAATTCCATATAATATTGCAAAATAATAAATACATGTATTTAAAATATTAACGTATTAACATAAATTAATAAAGTATAAGGCGATATTGACCTACAAACACATGGCTTTAAATATTACAAAAAAACCAGTTGGAGATTTGTACGTAATATTAAATAAATAAAATCTGCGTGACATTGACTTTTAGATCCGTTTTTTTAATGAAAATACGTAAAAGTATTGTCTTGTTTGTGACAGCGTGTTTCGAATTAGGCTCATAAGGATATGCATAGATTGCTAATGGCTAACTGAACCAAGTTTATAAGTTTGAAATCACCAACCTGTCTTGGGCAAGCGTGGTGATTAATGCTTAACCTTCCTAGTGAAAAAGAGGCCTTTGCTCAGCGGTGGGCTCTTATAGGCTAATGATATGACATGGCAACTGGACCAACTGTCAGCGACATGTACAGTGTATTTCAAGCGAATTCATACACAATATGTTGTCTCCTACAGTAACTTCACGGAATTCTAGTATATATTATAGTTTATTTCTTATTGTAATATCTCATTTATATTGCTGCACAATTTCATCTAAATCTGTCAAGTAGTTTCCACGTTAAAGTGCAACAAACATCCATACATACAAACTTTTAGATTAATTATAGCCAGGGTCTGCCTTACAGGTTGTGAATAGTTTTGGCTATTTGTTTTTACGACCAGCCGCCTGCCTGACATCAACCCTCTTTTTGGGAATCAGCATTAATCAGTGATGTCTAAATACTCTTAGAATGTTTCTTTGACCCGGAAAAATCACACTGGTACTTGCCCGGGCCAGGATCGAACCCGCGCCCTTCGTGCATGAGAGGTGGGCCTTTTTAACCACTGGGCCACCACTGACTTCCTAATAAGTTTTGTTATGTGTTACGTATTTATCATAAGTATGTTATTAAACGCGAATAATTTTGACATAAAAATATTATTAAACCTGCAACATAAGCGAATAGTGATGTTGCAGATACCATGCCAGCCTTGATTGTGGGAGAGGGAAAAAGGGTAGAGCAACCATCTCTCTCACTCATCGGACAAAACGCAACTATTACAGATTATTTCACGCCGATCTTCTGTGAGAGGGTGGTACTTCCCCGGTCGAGTCAGCCCATGTTCGAGATGCAATAACTTGACCACAGCTAGGCTCTACCACCTGTGTGTAACTCTATAATTCCGCGTACTTTTTGAAATTTATCAAAATAACTTTTCCAGTATAAATACCACACAAGTTACGCAAAAACTCTCCATAACTGATACCAATAACCAATTACAAGCACGTTTTCATCTCAATGATAGCCACGTACAACGAAATCATCATGTATAGATACCTACATATGTTTGTACCTATGTGAACTTTGTTTAAGGCTTTTAAGAATCTTTGTTTAAGGCATTATATGTAATAATGTATGTACATAACACAACCCATTTGAATTCTTTGTTATATTATTCTTTTCTGAGGTTTGTATTTTTTTTATATGATTTTTTTATAATCCACTCAACTTTATGGCCCACCCTGTATTTCACTCAGAAAATGTTTAATTAAATTGACAATATTATTCAGGCTTCCTATAAAATGGCACATGCATGAAAAGCATTAATAAAATGTAACATATTTGTGAAGTGTAATATATGTATGTACATATAAATTAAATAAGTAAGCAGCACAGATTGATAAATACAATTTTTTAATTATTAGATCTTACTAAGACTTGTTTTGTTTAGAAATATACTCTTAAGTTTAAAAGAAAATATTAAAATACTTAATACATATAACTATTTTTCATTACCCTTACATAATTATCGTTATATCGACTAATAAAATATCTTACATTGAGATTGTTGAATTTAGAAAGCCATATGGTATGGCATAAGGGAAATATTTGAAGGGTGTTCAGCCATCGGAGAGAAACTAAGTACGTCCCAAAAAAAAGTAGAATTATTACCAGATCAAAATTACTATACAGAAAATATAATAACCTAGTCAGTATATACTTTTTTATATGACAAATAAATTAAAAAATAACTATTCTTTATATACTTTGAAATATTCGTGGGATAAGTATTTCGAGAAAAAAAGTAACACAAAATAGATTTTATTGATTTTTTTATACTTAGTTTAAAATATCAATCGTTTCATTTATATTGAGTAGAACACTATTGTTAAAATGTTCTAAGCCGACCATTTATATCTCTACTATTCATATATGTACTATGTATATATATAGCATGTACCAAAAGTGGAACATTTCGACTAACACTATTTAAAGTTAACTGTGAACGCAATAATTCTAACTGTTTTAAAACATTCATTCTTAATTGATTTAGTGCGTGAAGCTTATG